GGCGCTGTGTTGAGAAGCAAAAGCACAGGCCGATCAGGGCCTCGGGGCCTGTGCCCGGTCTGGTCTGGGCCCCGCCAGGCCGGCTGCCCACCCAGGGACCATCTCGTTAGCAGTGGGAAAGGAGTCGGCCGTGCACTCCCCTCCCCCGCTCCCCGGGCGCCTCGTCTTTTTGTTCTGTCTCAGCAGCTCTCTATTGAGATGAATGGCATTTCCAGAGGCTTCACCTCTGATAAGTGTTCCTCTGCGGCGGCAGCGGGAATCTTAATGTGCGCCCTGTAATTTAACGGCCATCTCGGCTGACTATTAAAACGCTCTTCCCGGGTGAAGTGAACTCGCTCCATCGGCACGTGCTCACGCTGCCAGGGTGACTCCAGGGAGCTCGGATGTGGCTGGCTCCCCGTGGGAGGGAGGGGGGTGCAGCTCCTGAACTCCTACCAGGGTCTTCTCTTCTAAAGGGGAGATGGCTGGGCATTACCCACCCCCACCGCCAACCCCTTAACCCCCCTGCAATCCCCACACCCCCATCCCACCCCACTCCCACATTGCGGGGGAGGGGGGGGCCCTGGAGACTTGGGAAGCAAGAGGAGACGTTGCCCTTCTTGGAAGGCAGGAGCCCAGGCTGGGATGATTTTCAAAGACATCGTTGGACTCTGTTGATGCTGTTTGTTGTGTGCCTGCGGACACACACTTACACGCCAGAAACACAAACGCCCAAGCAGGAAGGAGACTAGGCTGAGCCTTAAAGACATCAGGCTGTATGAGAGAGACACTTCTTTGATAAGTGGGTGTTTCGATCTGGAATTACAAGGAGTGGACAGTCACAGTGTGATAGTGTTTACGTACACCTGGCATGCCTCCACCCCTCCCAATCTTTCTTTAGGGAACGATATGGAAACCACCAGTTCGTTCGTTTTCCTGCCATCTGGTTGTCCAAGGAATGATATGTGACTACCCAGAGCCCGTGAGATCGTTCTAAGAATTCAGATGAGAGAAGTCAGTCCTTTAGAGTGTGGGGAAAAGCGATCTGCAGAGAGAATAAAGCTGACAAACCAAGAGAAAGTTGAGAGAGGAAGAGAGACTGAAAGACAGAGAGAACTCTATTTGAGAGAGAGAGCGAGAGAGTGAGAATGCCTGACCTCCAAGGCCCAACCACATCTCTGTTCTTTCCAACTTTTGGTTGCTTGGTTCCTTGGATTTTTTGAGCCAATCATTTCCCCCCTTTTCTTTTTGCCCACGCTAGTTTGAGCTAAGTTGCCACTGTTTGCAACGGGAGTACTTTAAAAAGGGACTGGCCTTCGCCTCTGATGCATTATCTCTAAGTTATGATGAGCATTAGAAAGGCAACCTCTTTATGAGGGTCAGTCTCCTTATCTACACGGCCCTAAGCAGCTCCTGAAACTTCACCAAACTTCCCATACGAATCAGATCTCATTAAGGTGAATACACAAATCTCGCTGGTGCTGAGCCCCCTAAGCGGTCTTGTGACATCACACCTGGCAGAGTACCCCAGGCACTCAGAGAGTACTCAAGAGTGTCAAGACCATATCTGGATGGCCCTAGCTACTGGCCTCCACGCGTCCAAGCTCTGGACACCGCCTCCACGGACGTCTGTCTCTTCTCAGTTGAACGGAGGACACTCAAGCCGGCCTCTCCCACACGACGGTGCAGCTCCCTGCGGCCACCGAGTATAGTGGCTAACGTTCTCTTTCAAAGTGAGGTTTTGATAAAAGCTCCACTCCGTCGCTGCTGAAGAGTTGTTGGGTCCGGGCCGAAGATCGCAGGAATCTCGCACTTTCTGTGTGGCTTCCGAGGGATTGCCATTTACACGGAGAAAGCTGTCCCGTAAAATGCCAGGTCGCCACCTACCTGCCCCAGCGGGCTCACTCTTACACCTTCTCTCCTCTCTTATCATTAATTACACTGAGGCCATTGCAGGAAGGTGTTTCAACAATGAGCTCTGAGGGGTCAAGCCACGGTGTTTAATAATACTTCTGTTCAAAGTTTTCCTTAAGGGTCATCTGTAACCTCATTTCTGTTCCTTATCTAAATTCTTTGGTTTAGTTTTAATTCTCTTGTTGCCTTTTTTTTTTCCCCCCTTGTGGAAATAGAGATGTCAGCTGTCCCCCTCTTACTCATTCATCCATTTATTCACCCATCCAGGCCTTATTCTGTGGCTGCTACTCTGGACCCTGCCATGTGTTATGTAGTCAGGGTTTTTTCCTGGGCATGCAAGAAAGCAGTGACAGCATTCAAAACACAGATCTTTTTGCTGCTCTCTAAATAAAACACAAGTTTTGTTTTTAGTTTACTTATTTTTAGAGAGCGAGCGAGAGAGAGAACCCAAGCACGTTCCATGTTGTCAGCACAGAGCCCGACGTGGGGCCCCATCCCATGAACCGAGAGATCATGACCTGAGCTGGAATCAGGGGTCAGACGCTTAACCAGCTGAGCCACCCAGGTGCCCCTAAAACGTAAGTTTTACTTTGTCTTCCCTTCCGGCTCGGCTTCCAAGCCCTGCTTCTCCTGGCTGGTCACACTGAGCCAGGACACTTTGGTGGCTAGTTAAAAAAAAAAAAAGAGAAGAAGAAGAAGAAAAAGGAGAAGTCACTGTGTAACTGTGCTGGGACCTTTGGAAATTCTAGTGATGAAAGGCAGGGCCCTCACTTCCTCTTTCTGAGCAGCACAGGGTGTCACCAGACAGGAGCAGTCCTTGCCGGGGAGCCCGAAGCAAACATGGATCAGGAAACCGTGGGCAATGTTGTCCTGTTGGCCATTGTCACCCTCATCAGCGTGGTCCAGAACGGTAAGGGAACGCCCTCACTCAGAGGGGGAGACAAAACCGATTTTGTTTGTCAATCGCTTGAAAGTCAGAGGCTCACACCGTTCTCTGCGTCTGTGCACACTTTTGCCCACTTCCCCCTTATTTGTATTTGTTTTCTTTTTGCTTTGGATGTATAGGATATATGCATTTATGCATGACTTTGGGGGTTTCCTTCTGGTATTTCTTGTACTTCAATGTTGGTGACTAACCATGTTTGTAAAGCCGGGGCTGCGATCTAGAAGCTTTATAAAAACCCTTACTAAAGTGTCTGCAGTCAGCATTTTAGCTATTAATTACTGTGGCCAGAGACTGGGTGGGAGGCAAGAAGCCTAGAAAGGGAAAGTGAAATACGTGTTGTCTCAAAACACCGGGCTTTTGTTAAGCGCAGCTGGGCTGACTTCAGTGAAACTGACGTTACCTGTCACCTGTAGGCTAAAAAAAAAAAAAAAAAAAAAAAAAAAATTGAATTTGGATAGTGGGAGGAAGAAATCACCTTATTATCATTTATCTCTGTATTGCTTCTTTTTTCTTTGGAAGAAAGAGATTCTTTGTAATACTTTTTTTTTTTTTCCTAGCGATGTGTAGTTTTGAAGCAGTTTTCATACGCATTATATATTAACTATTAATGTAAAGAGAGAGAGGAAACATTTTTTCTTGCGCGGGGTTTGCATTTCCATCCACCTCGCTAGCACTTAAGAAAACCGAGCAAGGAAGAAAGAAATACGCAAGGTACTGGGACCTGAAAACGACAAGACCGTGTAGCATTTTCTCTTTCAAGTTCCGAGTTAGGACTGCCACAGATTCTTTTTCTAAGTATTTCCAGTGGCTTTGTGTTTTGCAGTTTATTAAGATAGAGGAAAAAGGAAAGTAAGTACCAAGGGCGGCTGTTACCACTTAATGGTAATTATTACGTGTTCACACACTGTGGTCACACTTTGGACATTTGAACGTTTCACCAATTTGGGATCCTCTGTTATTTCCCCCCAACTTGAACCTGGACAGAGGCTGAGGATTAGCCTTCTGAGCCCTGAGTAAGGCTTCCCTGAGACCTCCCCACACCAGAGAGACCCGCTTTCCCCTGTATGTTTCCTCTGTGGAACAACAGTTGGCTGCTTTTTGACCCAACCATTTTCATGTTAAACCCACACAATAAAGTGGCAGCTCCGAGAGGGAACAGGTGGGTTGTTTAGTCTGCCATTCCTCGAGCCCGTTGCTATTTCCTGCAGGCGTCAGGACCTCCCTTGGCCTTGTGAATCAACAAGGGATTCATTTATTCAACGTGCAGGGACACCCCCGCCCCCCGCCCTTGTGATGGTCAGAGTCCTGGCTTTATGGGGACATAGCTGTGGGGTGGGTGTCCCAGGAAAGAAAGGGTAGCGAAAAGAGATGACCAGCCAAGGTCAGTAGGAAGCCTTCAAAGACCGGTCTGGTTGGGTGAGTGGGCGGTGCTTTTCCAGCTCTGTGTAGGGTCTCCCCTCCCACCCTCCCCCTGGTAAATGGCAACGTAACTGACAAATACCGGTGGACCCGGGAGCCAGTGCCTTGTCACTGGCCAGTGTGGATGGGGCTAAGCTAGCTGGAAGGCTGTAGGTCACCCCGAACTGCTGCCTCTCGGTTCAGAGCTGAGCTGGGGGAGGCCGCGGGGTCTCCTGTTGTGAGAATAGAGTCTCTTCATCGCTCCCGAGATGCAGAACCCGGTCCGGGCCTGTCGAGTGGGTCCCGGGCTTTTCCCCGAGTGCAAAGCAAGCCCTGAACCGACTTGAGGGGGACGGCGAAGTTCCTAATTATTTTTGGCAGATGAGATTAAGTCTTCTTCCTTGGTACGGTGTGGAAGGGGAGATGATAGGCGGCCAAATGTCTGAGCCTTAACAGCCGCGGCGTGGGGGCCTTGACTTTTGGCAGGCCATTTCAGAGAGATGGCGACACAACACAGTGGCCTCGCTGCTAGAGCTCCAGCCGCTGATGCGGGATGAAGGCTGCCCGGTGGGGAGCTGCAAACCTGGACCAGGGTGGAGCCACCGTTTGGGGCCCGGAGACTTTTTCAGGCTCTTTTTGAAGCCACATGAAAGCCATGCTTTCCCTCTGAGGCCGAGACCCGGACTGCCGTGTGATGTGGAGACCGCTGGGTGAGGCCTTTTACTTGTGACCGTCAAATGTGCCCATGTCGGGGAACAAGACAAATCCAAACGACCCGGAAGAGAATATCCGTGCTCGCTTACACCTGGGCTTTCAGGCGAAGGCAAAGGTTCAAGTGCTTGTCCCGAACCCTTTGCAATGCTAATTAACCTCAAGGTTGCAACCATGGGTCCTCCTCAGAGAGTTCAGAAAATATGCAAAAACGGTGCCTTTCTCTCCCTGCCCCGCCAAATGCCACTTCGAACCCTTCCTCTTAGTTTTAAAAACTATTTCCGTGTTGTCGCCCGGCACCACAGACGTTGCCTTTGCCCCACGACAGAGAGGTCCGGTCCGCATGTGTCCCTGATGGTGTCCTGGGTCTGTGCTCTCTGTTCGCTGTGTGAGAACCTCATTTCCCACAAAGAGGCCAGAGCCCAGCCTTCCCCCAGAGCCCAGAACTTCCCCCTCCGACTCTGAAACGTTGTTGAGTCGTCCAGATCTTTGAACCTGTGGCCCCCTTCCAGCTCGATCCAGCCAAACACAGATCTGGAAGCACAGAGCACGTTTCAAATACGTCGTTCCAAGAAAGCCGGGCCAGACCCACCAAAGGCTGGTTTCCCAGGGAATGCAGATAGATGCATTTCCTATGAACAGCATCCAGAGGGCCTCCGACCCCTCCTGCCGAGGTGCCAGCGGCGGTGACATGCAGAAACACGCAGGCAATAAGCATGAATTTGGAGAAAGTGATTTCCATAAGCAGCCCAACTAGTTAGCTTGAGAGGAGAAGGTGAGCCGAGGGGAAGGGCCACTGAGCCCATGCATGGAAGCCTGAGTGGCAGCAGAGGAGAGATGTCCTCCAGCAGGAGAGCCGTTCCGGCCGCGCTTCTGGTTGTGGGGAAAGGCGGTGGGAGCTGGCATCATGCTCCCGCCTCAACTCTCTTCTTACCGTGAAGCCAGGAAGGGAGACATCGTGGCCCTGCTCTCGCAGGGGTTTGTGAGCATAGGACAGGGAGGGCTAGAGAGCTGGCAGGGAACACCTCCATTTCCGTGCCATCCCTGGTACTCCCACCCCCCCCACACACACTCGAAGTGAATCTCGCGGGCACCATATTGGGAGACCTAACGGCCCCACGTAGGATTAAATGGGCGGCGGAAACAGGACTCAGGAGGCGCCCCCAAAGCAGAAATCTTATTTGCAGCATTCTCAACAGCTCCCGCCTGGACCCTCCCGTGATAGAGAGCTCACGGCTACTGGACTCCCCCTTTCCCTTGTTAGGTGTATTGGGAGTTTGCTTTGTGTCGAGCATGGTGCTTTGTGCTGGGCATAATACTATTTCACTGAATCCTTGCAGCCTGTGAATTATATCTATATCTATCGATCGATCGATCGATCCTATTTTACAGATAAGCAAAGTGGGGCTTGGAGAGGCTAGAACAATGGTTGGACTGAGATTCAATCCAATTCCAAAAAGTAGACGCTTATGCTACGTTTATTGCCTCAAATTCATTTATTCAAAAGCTCCCTACTCAAGAAGTTCTTTCTTACACGTGCTGAAATCTACTGCCCTGTAACTTCTATCCACTGGTCCTGTTTCTATTGTCTGGAAAAGCTTGGACTATGCTTGCTGCTTCTAGGTTTACAGAGTCAGCTATCCTGTCATCAATGTATCATTTCCTTTGTGACTTGGTTTCCAGAGTCCCTTGTCATTGGGTTACACCCTCCCACCCATCTTGCCCTGAGCTTTCTAAGATGCAGACAGACGCTTCCTGTACAGGGAAACTCACTCTTCCTGAGATCCAGACATCAATCCGATTAAGATAATCACAGGTGCATTATTCTTTTGAACACTTGTTATCGCACTGCTGGCTCGTATTAACTTTGTGCCTAACTAAGTCCTCAAGATCGTTTTATGTGATCCTGAGAAAGCTGTTTGCCTTCTCTGACTCCCAGCTTCCTCAACTGACAAGTGGGGCTACAATGACTTCCGTGCGTGTCTGTTGAATATATCGCACGGAGAGGCGCCCGGGTGACCCAGTCGGTCAAGCGTCCAACCTTTGATCTCAGCTCAGGTCTTGATCTCAGGGCTGTGAGTTAAAGCCCCGCACTGGGCATGAAGCCTCCCCAAAAAGCAAGCAAGCAAACAAACAAACAAAGCCACCCTGCAATGGAACAACCTAGGAAAAGTAGCCTGCGGTGCCCGGCATGCGGTGTGTGTGCTCTTTAGTGGTCGGCAGCCTTTTCTCTCTGTGTCTCTGACTCTGGCGCTATCTCTCTGGTTTGGCTCACCGTCAGCAGCTGGCCAAGATAAGCATATCAATGGTCTCTGCGCTCGAGGTTTCTGTAACATGGTGGAAGATAACACGGGGGTGGGGTGTGAATGGGTGGCAAGGCGTGGGCAAAGGAAGGCAAATTTGTTCAAGTGTAGCTAAGAAGGAGGGAGAGGGAAAGCCTCGTAGGCTGGGGCAGGCTTGCTTTTTTGTTTAATGGGTAGGAGAGATCCGAGTATGTTTCTAGGGTCAAGAGAAGGAGGAAAAAAGAGAGGGAAGGTTCAGGAATTGGGGAGAACACTGATGAGACAAAGGCCCGGAGAGGCGGCAGGAATTGGGCTGAAGTCACAGGTCGAGGGCAAGCCCTTCAAACTAGGAAGGGGTCTGTCTGAGCAAAGAGAGAGAGAAGGCAGGCAGGCAGGCACGGAGAACTATAGCCACGTTGTGCTGCTGGTTGCAGAAATCACCTCTGACTTTCTTAATACTATCTCTGCTACCTGTTCAGAGGCGAGGGCCTCTTAGGTTCTGGACCCTTAGGTTCGGAACCCTTAGGTTCTGGAAAGCCAGTGAGCAGGACTTCCTGCTGTCCTTTGTGCTAAGAAGAGATATTCAGAACAGACAGATGTGTACTTCAACCCCGTGTGGCTGGTGGGTCCCCTGCGGTGAGCTACAATGTGACAGCAACAGGAAGAAAATATCCTCATCTGCCCCCTTGGATCTGAGTCCCCAGCTTCACTGTTCCCCAGTGGGGTGGCTCTGAGAATGCCACCCAACCCCCCTGAGTCACTGGGGCCTTGTCTACAAAGTGGAGACAGCATGGCCCACTCCGCGGAGTGGGCACAAGGCCCATCGAGGGAATAGACGTCAGGTGTCTGCTGGAGGGGGACGCCCCCTGCTTACCAGTGGGCCCGTAGCTGCTATGCCCCCAGACAGGCATGTTGCTAGGGTCCGGCTGTGCTTTTGCCCAAAAGGAAACCAGAGAAGGCTTTTATTCCTATACACGGTTGATAAGGCATCCATTTCACAGCTTTTTGAGGAGGCTAATATCAAGCTGATGAAAAGGGATCCCACAGGGACCCCTGATATTCTGGAAATAGGAGCAGAGGAGTAAAAGACGAGGGGAAGGGAGAGAGACCTCCATCCCTCCCCACTCCATCCAATCTATAGACAGACCCTTGGGAATCTGGCTTCTCGGCAACCCCCCCCCCCCAGCCCACCGCCCCACCTTAGCGGGCTCCCTATCTTCCGCTGTCCCGGTCCTGACCCCTCTGGACGCTCCCCATGCAGAAGACGGAGTGGCTTCCTGCTTCCACCACTTGCTCAGCTTATCCCTGCCAGTGACTCCTTGTGGCTCATGAGATGGGCATGAATTCTGATTTTCTTACCGCGGCTCACATCAAGGTCACAGTCACGCCACCAAATCCGGCAGGCGCTTCTCAACTATCCTCTTCTCCAGGCCTGGGCTCGCTTAGTGCTTTCTCGCTCTGTCCACCCTGTGGGCACCGCACGTGGCCCCCCACCAGGCTCTGCGTTCCCCTCCATCCGCGGCTGGGCGCACTGGATAAATTTCATCTAAGTGTTTTGTTCGCGGTTTACGGTCTGCCTCCTCCTCTTCCACCCCCGCCAGAGCATGAGCTTCTCAGGCCAACGTCCTTTGTGTGTGTTGTTCTCGGATGCAAGCTAAGTGTCTGGCTCGTGGCAAGTCAGAGGTTAGTAGAGATAGCTGCTGAGTGAATTTCTGGCAAGTGACGTTTGACAGAAGACATTTGGGGCTGTTTGGAGGGCACACCAAGGAAACATTTAACGTTCTAGTAAAATAAGGGGACGACAGGCTCATGAACGTGCCCGTGGTAAACCAGATCCAAACCTTTCCCTTTGTCAGGGTTCTTTGCCCACAAGGTGGAGCATGAAAGCAAGACACAGAATGGGCGGAGCTTCCAGAGGACGGGAACACTTGCCTTTGAACGCGTCTACACTGCCAAGTGAGTTCAAACCCTGATACTGCAAACTAACAGAGTGGGGCCCTGGGCAAAGGGGGCCTTCCTACTGGAGTGAAGGCCACCGTCAAGGCTACATGTCTGTCTGGGTCGACCTTCAGAGTGCCAGGAAGGCAGAGCTCCCAGGGACGATTGAACCTCACCTGGGTGGGGGGTGTTGGGGGCACCCTTGGTCATCTTAATAAGAAAGGAATTAGGGGTAGTGGGGGCGGGAGTGGGGAGAGGTGCGATCGCCGCAGCTCCCCCCTGCTCCAGAAGCCTCTGAGCCAGTCACGTAGCCACGGCGTTACCGACTTCCTGGGGAATTCGTCCAAAGGGACTACCATGCAAACCAGCCATGCAAACTCATCGGCTGGCTTTGGGGGCAACAGGTGGGACGCGATGGTGACAGCCTTCAGCTCACTGTCCCTTGCGTCCCCCTTGGGGGGACTTCCGGAGGTGTGCCAGGACCTTTGGTAACGCCCCCTCTCCTTGAGCAACGGGAACAAGAACAGAAAGAATGGGGGAGCTGTGTAATTCCTCCCCATCCCCCCCACCCCCCGCCATTCTTTACTTTTGAATAAAAAAGCTGTTTGAAAATACCTGAGCAGCTCAGAGAAGGAGATGGGAGCTACTCGGGATGCAAATCTGAATGGACGTTATTCACACACGCGTTTTTCCTTTACGCAGAATGTATTTGAACAGCAGTTTCAGGCAGTGGCCTGTCTGCTTCTCTGTGCCTGTGACCAGGGGCCTGTCACGGGGAAAGGCTTCGGAGAGGAGCTGGCCAAGGAGCTGGCCTTCAGTCTCAACTCGGAGGTGGCTCTGATGGCCGCAGAGATCTTCCCACAGGGGCAGTCGTGGATACCCAAGGAAATTGTCACAGGCTGATATCCAGGTCCCTTCACCCTTTCTGAGCCCTTTGCCTTTTGGGCTCGGGACTTGAGGCCACGCCCGAGTGCTCGAAGCCCCTCCAAGACCTCCCCTTCACTCAGGCCCTCGCCACCTGCCGTGGGGCCCCCCTCGCTCACACTCTGCTGTCCCCAGTAGGGTCATTCCAGCAGTCTGGTCTCAGGGAAATCCTTTGCTAAACTACCTACGGGGATATTTCTCTTTTAACATGTGGACCTTCGGGGTATTAATTCTCAGAATCAGTCGGAAAAGTTTAAAGATGTGTCTGAAGCCATTTTTAGACACCGACACTTAAAGGAGCGCAGGGAACGTACGTAGGGCGCATCGCTGTCTTTGTGCCATTTGCAGGGGGAGCCGTGAGAGCGCCTCTCAGACACTCTGCGTGCGAGAGGTGCGAAGAAGGTGTCTTTGATCAGGGACGCCCCGAAACGCTCTCTGCAAACAACCCCGAAGGGCACATTGACGCTATTTGACTACTTGGGAAGGAGAAGCTTCTTTCTGCCCAGATCTCCGCGTTATTAGCAGTTGCACCGGGTGGCTCCGTTCCGGAGAAGCCGGGCGGCGCAGGTGGCCTGAGGTGGTTTCACCACGTGCGGAAGTTCAGTTTCCGTTTTGGCAGCAACGAAGACGAAGAGGAGACGAAGAGGAGGAGGCCAGGCCGTCTGGGTTCTGCCGCGTCCCCTGGGGGGGGGGGGGGCGCTGGCTCTGCGCCTAAGGAGCGGCTCCGCCCATACCTGGCCCGGGGCGCCAGCCTCCAAATTGCAGAAGTCGCCCTTTGGTGGCCGCTGCGCTGCATCATTTGGGAGGGCGGTTTGGAAGTTCCGCAAGGCTGCGGGGTTCCGGGAGGGAAGAAGGCGCTGGAGGACCGTGGTGGCCCATCCCGGCTGCGCCGGGGGTCCCCACGGTGTGGGCGCGTGGCCCAGCTCCCCAAAGCCACGCGTCTGTGCTTCACCTCCGTGGGAGGAGAGCCACAAGAGTTGGGAGGAGAGGGAGCTGCAGAGTGGGATCAGCTAAGGGGGAGAGACGGAGAATTTTCTGGAAGAGGGAGGCGGCCCAGACGCTGCTGTGGTTCTGTTACAAAGACCACTTCCTCCCTGACCCAGCTGACGGCACTCTGTGTGCCTGTGGTGGTTTGTCCAAGGGCTGAAAGATCAGGGCCTGGCAGAACCCAGAGGCGCCGGTGTGCCTGCGTCTGCCAGGAAGTTCCTGCCAAGGGGTCCTGTGTCACAGGGACTCGTCTGGCCCCCAAAGCACCGAAGAGGGTGCGAGCTGAGCCGTGGATGTGCAGCAAGAAAAGAACAGGGATTTAATCTTGCTATCAAAAAAAAAAAAAATAAGAAATTAAGCTTTGCTCGGTTTTAATACACAGGTTGAGAGCGGTGTGTATGTTATACCCGTCACAGGGTTGCACAATCAGATCTTCTGGTTGATGGGGTGTGAGATCATAAATGTTTCCAGACCATGGCTGTAAAGAAAAACTAGCGTAAAGGATAAATGATGCTGGTGGATTGAAACGCCTGATGCAGATTTTTCAGCACCAAATATGACTGCTGAGTGATGCAGATGGTTTGAGATCGGGGGGGCCATTGATAAATGGGTATCGTGGCTGGGTGTGGCCCATCGGCTCCAACGGGGCCCCGGTTAACTGTCTACGAGGGTAGAGCCGAGTCAGGGTTTGAGAGATAAAAAGAATCTTTTTAAAATTTTTTTTTCAACGTTTTTTATTTATTTTTGGGACAGAGAGAGACGGAGCATGAACGGGGGAGGGGCAGAGAGAGAGGGAGACACAGAATCGGAAACAGGCTCCAGGCTCTGAGCCATCCGCCCAGAGCCCGACGCGGGGCTCGAACTCACGGACCGCGAGATCGTGACCTGGCTGAAGTCGGATGCTTAACCGACTGCGCCACCCAGGCGCCCCTGAGAGATAAAAAGAATCTTGACCTTGACTCTGTTCACATGTGCGAGGCGTAGTCCAAAGCCCTGTTCCCAGATGATGAGCACAGCTAGAACAGAGCTTGATTTCTGGAGAAAAGTCTCAGTTAAACTGACCCAAGATTCTTCCCCGTGATGCTGGTAAGCACGGGCTGCAGAGAGGTGACGGGTCTCTGGAGAAATGTAATTTTCTACACATGTTCCATAGATTACACGTTCCTGGGCTGGTAACAGGTATTACAGAGGAGAGCAAGTTTTGTAAAACAGGACTTTTGAGAACTTCTAAGGTACTGAGGAACACTGTGATTCTTGGTTCTCCAAGAAGGGGAAGTCTTTTTTTTTTTTTTTTTTTCAACGTTTATTTATTTTTGGGACAGAGAGAGACAGAGCATGAACGGGGGAGGGGCAGAGAGAGAGGGAGACACAGAATCGGAAACAGGCTCCAGGCTCTGAGCCGTCAGCCCAGAGCCCGACGCGGGGCTCGAACTCACGGACCGCGAGATTGTGACCTGGCTGAAGTCGGACGCTTAACCGACTGCGCCCCCCAGGCTCCCCTCCACTCACCTCTTATAGATGAAGAAAACTGAGGCTCAGTGCACTCACGCAGCGGCAGAGCAGGCGTCGGACCCAGGCTTTGTGCCTTTAAAGAGCATGTGAACATCCATCCGGCTCCACCTCAAGGGACGGCCCTGTCACTGATCAATGCCACTTGAATTCAGCCTGGCGGTGGTTCTCTGCCAAGGAGGGACATATGCATGGGGAGCTGTGGATCGAAGGCGGGTCAGAGACTCTGGATCGGAAAAAGACTGGCTTGAGCTAGATCGAGGGACAGGAGTTGGGAGTTTCATTCCAATCCAGACAGACCGTGTTTTATGAGGGACCCGGGTGACTTGAGACAACAGGCAGGAATGATTGAAGGACTGATCCAATGTCACATTACTATACCGTTCTCTCTAATGAGCAAATTCCTTAGATAATTAAGCATTTTGAAAAACTGCATCACCCAGCCCAAACCAGTACTCAAATACAAGCAAAACCAGAAGCATGTGAATGAGGAGGACGTAGGGGCGATCTTTGGCATTAATAGATCGTCAAATTGTTGGAGCCTCAAGTATTAGATCCCATCAGACATAGAGCATTATTCAATTAAATAAATAATAATGTGACCTAGTTTTCTAGGGTCACATTCTCAGTCCCAAGGCTGTGGGTTTGTTCCTCTAATACGTAATAGCTGTGACGTTGGGGCGCTCCATAGCTGCGTACGGGACCTGTTTGTTCGCTGAGTACTTCATCCCAAATGATAAGTTGGTTCAAGGCTCCTGCCCTTCCTCCAGGTCTGATTCTGAGGTGCTTGCCGGGTTTGTGGACAGGTCACTGTGCTGTGTTCAATATGATGCACCACACCATCAATGTGTTCGTGGAGAAAAGGACTCGTATTTTCCCTTTTGTTCTTCTCCACCTCTGGGAATGAGACACAGAAGTACTTACGTAAGTACTACTGTGTCCGCTAGATCAGTGAAACCCCTGGGTACCCAGCAAGCTCAGCGGGGCTGTGCTCTCTCCCCTGTGCCTGTATCCCAGGGTAGGATACGCTGCTTTCTTACCTTTAATTTCATTGACCTCTCCGGTGGCGGATCTTTTGATCATCAGAGGGACATGAAACTTCCTGTGGCCAGGGACACAGCACATCCTCTCTGGGTTCTCTGTGGGGGATGGACCAGGGCTCGGTCATTCCAGAGTCCTCAATGGTACCACTGAGGCATGAGACGCTATCAGTCTGAATAAGGGTCCGTCGCCGATTTAGGAGGAAAGTCATGAGAACCAGATCAGGGAGGGTCCAGATGAAGGAATCCAAGGAAGGAATTCGGATAAAAGGCCAAATACGCTTTGAAGAGTGCATCTTTGCTTTGCCTGTTAGTTTGAGTGACACTAGACCAGTGGTTTTCAAACTTGAGTGTGCTTCAGAGTCACCTAGAGGGCCTGTTAAAACAGTCAGCCTGTTAAAACACAGATTTCGGGGCCCCACCCATTGAGTGTTTAATTCTGTAGGTCTCCGATGGGCATTAACACTTTCGGTTTTAGCAAGTTCCCAGGTATTCCGGATGCCTGCTGATCCAGGGACAACACTTTGAGGACCACCTCACTAGAGCATCAACTCTTAAAGCTTACGTGGATCTTAGAGTTACTATCAGTCTCTTAGTGTTTCAGGTGGGAAAACTACATCCAAAGTGATTATTTTGCCATTGACAAACAGATGGTGAAGGTCAGGTCAGAGGCGAAACCTTAGTCACGTGCCCTTTCCACTCCATCGCGCTGCCCTTCCCCATTCACGCTTCCATGTCTTGTAAGGTGGTTTTTCCACGGATGTGCGTGTATTTTTTTTTCTTTTTTCAAGGTTTTATCCAAGGTATAGTTAGGTAAAATATAGTGTAATATTGTCTTCAGGAGTAGAATTTAGTGATTCATCACTTACAGACAACACCCGGTGCTCAACGCGACAAGTGCCCTCCCTGAATGCCCATCACCCATCTAGCCCATCCCCTACCCACCTCCCTCCCTCAACCCTCAGTTTGTTCTCATCATAAAGAGTCCCTTGTGATTTGTCTCCCTCTCTCTTTTTTCCCCCTTCCTGTATGTACATCTATTTTGTTTCTCAAATTCTATATATGAGTACAATCATAGGGTATTTGTCTTTCTCTGCCTGACTTATTTTGCTTAGCATATCCTCTGGCTCCATCCACGTCATTGCACATAGCATGAGTAATACTCCATTGTATTTATGTATACCACGTCTTCTTTCTCCATTCATCAGTTGATGGACATTTGGGCTCTTTTCATAGTTTGGCTATTGTTGATAGTGCTGCTGTGAACTTTGGGGTACATGCACTGCCATTGAAACTGTATTTTTGTATCCTTTGGGTAACTACTTAGGAGCTCAATTGCTGGGTCGTAGGGTAGTTCTATTTTTAACTTTTTGAGGAACCTCCATATGTTCTCCAGAGTGGCTGCCCCAGTTTGCATTCCCACCAACAATGCGAAAGGGTTCCCCTTTCTCCACATCCTCGCCAACATCTGTTTCCAGAGTTGTTCATTTTAGCCATTCTGACAGGTGTGAGGTGGTGTCTCATTGTGGTTTTGATTTGTATTTCCCTGATGATGAGTGAGGCTGAACATCTTTTCATATGTCTGTTAGCCATCTGGATGTCTTCTTTGGAAAAACATCTATTCATGTCTTCTGCTCATTTTTTCCTCTTCCTTCCTTCCTTCCTTTCTTTTTCTTTCTTTCTTTTCTTTCTTTCTTTCTTTCTTTCTTTCTTTCTTTCTTTCTTTCTTTCTTTCCTTTCTTTTTGAGGATGGGGAAGGACAGAGGAAGAGAGAAAATCTTAAGCAGTTTCCGTGACCAGTGAGGAGCCCGGCATGGGGCTCGATCTCCTGACTGTGAGATTGTTACCTAAGCCAACATCAAGAGTTGGACTGACTTAACTGATTCAACCTACTGAGCCACTCAGGCACCCCTTCTGCCCATTTCTTAACTGGTGTCTTTTTGTTTTTGGGGTGTTGAGTTTGACAAGTTCTTTATAGATTTTGGATACTAATGTTTTATCAAATATCTTCTCCCATTCTGTAGGCTGCCTTTTAGTTTTGTTGTTTGTTTCCTTCACTGTGCAGAAGCTTTTTATCTTGATGAAGCTCCAGGAGTTCATTTTTGCTTCTTGTGACATGTCTAGTAAGACGTTGCTACCGCCGAGGTCAGAGAAGTTACTGTCATGTTCTCCTCTAGGATTTTGATGGTTTCCTGCCTCACATTTAGGTCTTTCATCCATTTTGAATTTATTTTTGTGTATGCTGTAAGAAAGTGGTCCAGTTTCATTCTTCTGTACCTTGTTCTTCAGTTCTCCCAACACCATTTGTTGAGGAGACTGTCTTTTTTCGATTGGGTATTCTTTCCTGCTCTGTCAAAGGTGAGTTGACCATGTAGTGGTAGGTCCATTTCTGGATCTTCTATTCTGTTCCACTGATCTATGTGTCTGTTTTTGTGTCGTACCTTACTGTCTTGATGACTACAGCTTTGTGATATAGCTAGAGGTCCCAAATTGTGATGCCTCTAGCTTTGTTTTTCTTTTTCAGGATTGCTTTGGCTATTCAGAGTGTTCTGTGGTTCCATACGTATTTTAAGACTGTTTGTTCTAGCTCTGTGAAAAATGCTGGTGGTATTTTGATAGGGATTGCATTACATGTATGGATTGCTTTGGGTAGTATAGACATTTTAACAATGGTTGTTCTTCCAGTCCATAAGCATGGAATATTTTTCCAGTTCTTTGTGTCCTCTTCAAGATATTCCATAACTGTTCTACGGAATCAGTCGTAGAATGATATACGACTGAGTCGTAGAAAATATCTGTACCTCTTTGGCTAGGTTTTACCTCTTTGGCTAGGTTTATTCCGAGGTATCTTACGTCGGATATTTTACCTCTTTGGCTAGGTTTATTCCGAGGTATCTTCTTGTTTTTGTGTGATTGTAAATGGAATCAATTCCTTGATTTCTTTTTCTGCTGCTTCATGATTGGCGTATAGAAATGCAACAGATTTCTGTACATTGATTTCACATCCTGCGACCCTGCTGAATTCGTATTAGTTCTACCAATTTTTTGGTGGAGTCTTTCCGGTGTTCTACATAGAATATCATGTTATTTGCGAATAATGAAAGTTTGATTTCATTCTTGCCGATTTGGATGCCTTTTATTTCCTTTTGTTGTCTGCTGAGGCTAAGACTTCCAGTACTATGTTAAATAGTGAATGGTGAGAGTGGACATCCCTGTCTTGTTCCCGACCCCAGAGGGAACACTCTCAGTTTTTCCCCATTGAGTATGATATTAGCTGTGGGTGTTTTCATATGTGGCCTTTATGATGTTGAAGTATGTTCCATCTGGCCCTATTTTGTTGGGGATTTTTACCAATGTGGATGTGCATATTGATGGTCCTGACCGAGACTGTCAACTTCTCCAGAGGATATTTGCTATTTTTTTAGTGTAGTCGAAGAGCTAACAGATATGGTTACAGAGTTGGACTGACCAGGACATGCATCCTGGCCCCATCACCTTGTAGCTCAGTGACACTCAGCAGTTAGTCAACTTCTCCCAACCTCAGTTTCTCATGCGACAATGAGGGTAACTGTGGTAGACTGAATAAAGAGCCCCCAAACATCTTTACATCCCAATCCCGGGAACCTGTAGGTTCTGTTACATGGCAAGAAGAAATTCAGATTGTTAACCACCTGACCTTAAAATCAAGAGATTACTCTGGATTATTTGGGTGGAACCAATGGGATCACAAGGGTTCTTTTCTTTTTAATTTTTTTTAATGTTTATTTATTTTTGAGAGCGAGACAGAGAGTGAGTGGGGGAGGGGCAGAGAGAGAGACACACACACAGAATCTGAAGCCGGTTCCAGGCTCAGGTGTTAGCACAGAGCCCGACGCGGGGCTCAAACCCGTGAACTGCGAGATCATGCCCTGAGGAAGTCAGATGCTTAACCGACTGAGCCACCCAGGCACCCCTAACAAGGGTTCTTTAAATGTGAAGGAAGGAGGCGAAGTGGGTGTCAGAAAGACCCTCTCGGCCACTGCTGCCTTTGAGGTTGGAAGGGGGCCACAAGCCAAGGAATGCAGGTGATCTCTAAAAGCTGAGAAAGGCAAGGCAAAACGGATTCTTCCCTAGGGTCTCCAGCGGGCTTGCAGCCATGCTGACCCACCTTGACCGTGGCCCAGTGAGACCCATTTGGACTTCTGACCTCCAGATGATTTGTCTTGTTTTAAGCCCCGACGTTTGGGGCTACCTATTCCAGCAGCCGCAGAAAACGCATGCAGTCACCCTGCGCGCTCACACGGCTGCGGTGAGTGTCCGGGGGGACAAAGGGTGTAAAATATCAGCGTGGTGGCTGGTGTGAGGGGAGAGCCCCTCCCCGAGAGCGAACACTGAGCCCTGAACACGGCGATCGCACCACCAGCACGAGACCTTTCTGAGCGTCAGCTTTTCTGAATCGACCCTGGTTTCTTTCACGCTCGAAGCTCATCTCCCCGCCCCCCCCACCCCCCCTCCCCAGCCTCGCCTGTGGGTCTGAGCTGACTTGTGTGTCTGACAAAGGTTTCTCAGTTGGGCTCCTCTCTCCTGCACCCCCCACCCCCCACCCCCAATCCTGACAGCTGCCACAGCCCTGCTGTCTGTGTTGCTCACTTTTCAATTCCAAGAAGCACTTTGGCACAGCCAGGAGCAGGAACCCTGCCAAAACGAATCCATCAAGAAACCGAGTCTCCGACTGGCTTCACTGAGGAAGGGCCTAAATGGATTCTGAGCCTGTATTTGCTTTATGCCACTGCCTATGCCTCATGCGGCAGCCGGGTCCTACCGGTAGATATAAGTGGAGTCATGAATGGGGTTCGTGCTTCATGTGTGATGGTGATTATCGGCTTGGGGTTTCAGGTGATTTTCAGACGGTGCCGCGGTAGCGTGTTTCCTGATGCTTCTTCTCCTTATTTTTTTTTATTCTACAGCCAAAACTGTGTGGACGCGTACCCCACGTTCCTTGTCGTGCTCTGGAGCGCGGGGCTGCTCTGCAGCCAAGGTAACTCCCGCTTCTCCTTGTGTGTTCTCTTTCTGGAGCGTGCGCCGTGGGGAGGTTCAAGCGCGGGCTCTTTTGTTGAAAAGACTTTCCTTGACCTCCAGCTCCGATCCCCGTGAAGCCCTCGGAGAGGTGAGAACCCTCGGGAGGTCGTGTTTCAGGCATGCTCTGCGCCTGTGCGCAGCGGGTGCGATAATGCATTGCTAATGCTTGCTCCCCGGTGGTGGCTGGTTGAGAGCTCCTGCGCCGACAAGGGTGGTTTAAGGCTAAATGTGACTCAGAATCCTTAAGCAGTGTTAGCGCAGATACAAGGGCATTATAAATGAGGGCGCCTGAGGGATCTATTCTGGGACCGCTGTCACTTTGCTCTTCTGCTAATAAGCTTGCAGGGTGGCAGGTCCTCTGTCGGGCCTGGGTCTGCAGAGCCACGGGCTGGATTCCAGGTCCCCAGCCTTCTCTGGGGTTAGCAGCCGCCCACGGTCTTGACTTCAGCAGGTTGACTCCCAGAGTTGACCTAAAAGGACCAGGAAACCAGAGCCGTGTTTTT